TGGCCAGGCCCCCCTGGGGCAGGGGGGAGGGTAAAAGGGTGCAGCCCAACCCCAATCTGGCTGCGTGGAGGGAAAGGGGTGTAGCCTGTCTACAATCTAACCGTGTGAAAGTGTGTCATGACCCAACACCAACTTGTCCTGTGGGACCTGAAATCCTGGCAGCAGCAAGGGGCAGCAGTACTGCCACTGCTCCCCCACTGCCACATTTTTCAACCCGTGGGATGCTGATTCAGCCTATAGACCAGATTCAGCACCCCTGCTTTAAAGGCCACGGTAAGCAACCTATTCCAGCTGCAGGCTGGAATGACGCACCCTGAGTCAAAGGCAGGTAAGCACTAGGATGCAGCCACTGCCACAGCTTCTCCCTGTGGCAGAACAGGAAGTGCACCTGCTGTTGTATGCTACTGAAGCCCCAATGACAGGCTGTACCCAATTTTCACAGGCTGGATCGAGCCCCCTGGCCATACATTACCATCCCATGCCTTAGGGCAGGGGTGGACAAAGTGGTGACTCTGGCTGGGAGCCAGACTCCATTTCCCAGAAACCCCTGCCTACATCACTGTGGAGTTTTCATGGAGACCCCAAGAGCACCAAGGCTGTGACAGCCTACAGCCACAGTTTCCATGGAAACTGGCCCCAGCAGCGTTAGCAGGGTGAACAGGAAGCTGCTCCCAAGCTGGGGCTGGGATCTTGTGGCAATGACAAAGTGGTCCAGAGGTGGGGCCTTAGGGCATAGTTCAGAAAACAATGATCAATACAGCCTGCTTTTGCAGGGATTGCACAGTCCAACAAGGTTATAGTGAAACTGCAGATTATGCCAAAACTGGTCAATGCACTGAACTGGCTGATTTCCCTTTCCATCCACCTTAATTCCATCAAACAAACAAACCAATGTGAGAAATAAGGTATCTCTGGATGTCTAATGCAAATCTTTCTAGGGCCAAAACCAAGCATAGGTTACTCAAGATCCTGTTTTACCTGTGGGCCCAAACATAGTCCAAGAAATGGATTTTATCTGATATATAGCATCTAGTGTAAAATACATCAATGAAGCCTAGGGGTGTACTGCTAGAGATTTGGGGGGCTGATACAGCTAGCTGATATTTAAGGAGACATATCAGCCAATACAGATCCAATATAGTTGCCTCCAGGTGGTAAGTCCCGTGTGGTGGAAAGGGAAGGGGAAGGGAGGGAAGGAGCATGGGGCAGGGGGG